TGTCAGAAATGAAAGGGTACACACAATTTTGCTCTGTGCAGTGCAAACAGCATATCAGATTAGCTATCAGAATAGCATTTGGAATTAATAACATTGCTTTGCATCACACTTATCTTGGCAGCACTGGGCTAAATCTTGAGTTGGACATCTCCTAGAGACTTGCTTTCCCAAAAGAAATGTGTTTAGCAAGGTGGTAAGTGCACTCCTCCCATTGCCTCAAAACTAAACCAGCATCACCCCACAGAGTTGAAGAGCCACAAGTCATTCCTTGAGCTGACCCTTTATTATGAGACCACACTGGGAGTTTTTTTTTAGGTATTTGTTTCTGTGACATGTTCTTGTATGGGTGTGTGGTGGTCTACTCATCCAGGAAGGCTGAAAGCACAGGATTCCCTCAGTGCAACAAACCACCCATTTGATTTATGTGACTAGCCAAATATCCATCCTGCAGACAATATTCTGTCAGAAGGATGGCTATTCTTTGAGTTCTCTTGCTGTGATCCCCATGTAGAATTTAAATGGCAAAGAAAGCTAGTGGCTGGAGAAGTTCAGCTTTCTGCAATAAACATTGCTATTTACTAGTGTTCTAAAATTTGATTTGGTTTTATACATCTTTATATGCTTACCCTCTGCTGTTGTCCATCCTAAGATAATGTTGCATTACTGTATGCCATCACCCATTAAGGTTTTACTGATACAGTTTGGCATACAGTGTGCATATGATATTAGTCGATTAAATAATGCTGATGCTTCTCCTTTTTGTTCTGGTAATTCAGAGACTAACATAGACCGAGCATTGCTGGCAAGTGCTGTCCCTGTTGTCTTTGAGGTCCTTCAAGAGCACATCCAGAGTGGAGCCGTTGCAGAGTCTGCTTGCTCGGCTCTATGGGCATTGTCACTCCAAGGTGTGTTTTCCCAGTCTCCTTGTCCCTGGAAAAGGCTGGTGTGCCAGACATGTTTGTCACTGATGATCTTTGAAATACAGGCTGCTTGGCCCTAGCAGACTCTGCAGATGACAGCAGTTAGGAACTTGCATCCTTTCTTAACCAGTCTTCTCTGCGCTCACTCTCTGACACTCCCTAATGAAGTTATTTTTGATGAGCTGTAGCAGTTACGTAACTGATGCTGCTAATGGTTACTGTAATGATGGGCAGCTACAATAACCTATGTTGTGCAGAGCACTCTCTGGCTTATCTCTTAAGACCAAGGATCTCATTTGTGTTACACCTTTGATGACAGCATTAGTGTTGTGCAGCATGGGCTGGGAGGCTTCGTTTTTATGCCATTTGCTTTATAAATTTGGAATAATGTTTCAGATTAAAAAAATAAAATGCATCTTTCATGATCATGCGCACTAAGGAATGCATTCTTCAGTACTACTGTCTTATTTCTTCCTCATGCAGAATGCTGCCATATGTTTACCTACTGCCCTGTGCTTATGCCATTGTTCCATGAGGAAGAGCGAAGTAAAACACCCTAAGCAATCTTATTTCTGGTACCCACCAGCAGAATAGGATGATTGTTTAGGACTCTCCATTCCTTTTGGCTTGGAGAATGAAAGGGAATCTTGACATGGGTGATGTATCAGAAGTTTCTCCGAGACCCCTGGATCAACTCATGGAAAGACCACGTTGGGCCTTTTTTTTTTTTTTTTTTTTTTTTTTTTAATTGCAGAATGGGCTTTCACACGCTTTCTTTGTATCTTTTATTACATATTAAAATATCTCTTCAGAAACAGGAGGCAGAAGTTGAAATACTGATCAGTGTGAAGGCTTTTGAGCCTATTGATGTTTCGGGGGTTTGTGTGTCTTTTTTCTAAGGTTGCTTAAATGAAAATGAATACGAGCCCACAACAGCACTTCTGCTGGATGCACTCAGGATGAACCCAGGAAGACCAGTGCTGGTGAAGAATGCCTGCCTGGCACTAGGAAGCCTTCTAAGGCTCTCTGGTAGCGTTCAGCAATTCTTTTATTAATTGCACATCAGCTCAGAAGTGGATGCTTCTGTATAGATCAAGAGTTCAGGGTGGGATTGGGACTGACAGCTGCTCTCCTGAGTTAATCTTTTCTTGCAGAGCTGGAAGAGGAAATAGTGAAACTGGAGGTGCAAATTTGTTTTCTTCGCATGGACCCAGCATGCGTGTATGAGAAGTATTGGATCAGCACAAGCTGATCTGTTAGCAGCTTGAGAGTTTTATTACTTATGATGGAATTGCTTCAGCTGTGTAAAAGGCTAGAGCTGAATGAATATGAAAAGAGTAAATGTTAAAATACCACTTGGCCATTGCATGATGGTGTCAGCTGCCTAAGTGGTCTGCTACTTGTTGCCCAGATATACTTCAGAATAGCTTTTAGGAAGACTGAAAATAAAAGGGCATGACTTCCTGGAAAAATATCACACATTTGCTAGCTGGAGCAGGGGACTGGAAAGCAGGTAATGCAGCCTGCAGCTACCAAGTAGCCCAGCAGTGTTTGTCTTCCTTTCAGAAACAGCAGCTTTGAGACTTATAATGGATTCAAAAGGCAGTGGAATAAACCTGATCAAAGATGCCTACTGCCTTCACTTTGATGATCCAGAAGCGGTGGAGAATATCTGTATGCTGATTAATGAGATGGTTCAGTATGGTGAGATGGGGTGGTGGTTGTCATGTCTCTTCCTGTCCCCTGTCCCCAAAAGGTAGTAAAAAAACTGGAGCAGCAGCTGCTGAGGGATGTCTTTGTTGCTCTCGGGAAGACTTGCTCTGTATCTGAGAGAGAGGATGAATTGCACTGGGAGTTCATCCCCCTTGTTCTTGAATAATAAATGCCACTCTGTAATGTTGCAACTTGTCACCTCTGTGT